TTTATCATTAACGTACTTAAATGCTCAAGTAACCCTACAGTACAAGCCTCACAAACGGGCTACAAAACTGATCGTAACAATCCTGACTGATATAAATGCCTGTAACAACAATATATCTATCAACAACAAACGGGAGGGTCGGATCATATCTTGTCTGGGGTGATGATTTCTACTGATTTTTTTAAACTTTTTTCTGTTTTTGGTTTTTTTGGTAATTTTTTTGTGTTTTTTGTTTTTCTTGGGTACTATACTACTTTTTGTTTGGTTTTATATATATCGTTAAGTGTTTTTGGTCACAAATTTCTCAGGGAACGAGGGAATGGTCGATCCCCCCACCCTTCCTTATTCGTGAATTTTCGGTCTTAACCAGGTTAAAAAGCTATTCACGGTAATTCGGAAGGCTTCCGCGTTCCAAAATACCCTTCCGCCACGGCAGTTTAGGCCTATTAAGGGCGTTAATGTGAGCATCCGCTCGGCGCGGAGTGCTCGTTAACGGTTCTGCCGGTCATGATGTTAAAAAAGAATAACACCCAGGAGCGCCATAAAAACATGTATGTAACATTCGCCCGGAAGATACATATCGACGGAAAGTAAAACTAAGTCCTAAGACGACTGGCTAACGTCTAAACAGAACTTTACATGCTTTTCACCGTCTCTACCAAGCCAGTACTTTCGGTGGTCTTTCTAACATCGGGTCGACAAAAAACGTTACTGCTTTCGGCTTCGGTCAAAACACTCAAATTAACTTAATTACATGCAGAAATAATGAGCTCATGGCTGGGTCTCACTATCCCCAGACCACGAGGTCACTCCTAAAAACAGGGCTACTACTACTTATTGAATTATTATAGTTTTTGTTCAGTAGATAAAATCATCATCTCCATCGAAGATGGATCAACCTTTTCCCCCAACTCCTAGCTTCTCATCCCAGCAAAATGAATTCAGATGTTAATTAAATTCAAATCAGGACATGACAGGGAAGCTAAAAGTTTATATAAGATGATAAAAGTTTCAGTCCCAAAACCCCTCCAGGTTCTCGAATCCACTGAATCAAGCACGTTAAGCTTGATTTCCCTGTAACCCGGAAGGCTGGTTTCCCACCCTTCACCGTTGTTCGCAACGGCCTTGCAACTATTGTAGCGAAACAATAGTTGCAACTCGGAACGGTCTCTGCTATTCCTGCAATCTGCTGTTGTTTTTCAATCACGATTTCCGTTGTTATCGTCAGCGCAACTATCGTTGTTGTGTTGCTTTTTAGCCTTTTCTGCCAAAATGGCCGTTTTTGACGTTTCTGAGAATTGTTACGTCATCACTTCGAAAATTTAAAATTTAGGAGTTTCCGAATCCTTCAGCCTTCACGATTTGTCCAATCGTTCGAATAACGTTCTTATTCCTTCTAAATCGCCAATTCGGAAGGTTCGCTGCTAAAAACTCCTAAACTGCAGAGATTGCATTTTGTCCATTCTGGTCGAATGTCACAATTTTAAGTTTTCTGTGATGTGATTACGATGTATTGAATGAACATAGAAGCCTTGAATGGAAAAAACTCAATTGCTTTTGAGTTTTTTTCCTCTCATTTCCTTCGGTCCGTTTTTTTTTTTTTTCGACTTTTTTCTCAAAAATATCAGATATTCGACTTAACTTGAGTGCAGCTTAACTTCTTAAGCAATTGACTTAAATTCGAAAAAAATAGCTATTTGTTTTCTTTCCATTTTCAACGCCGCTGACCTGTCTGTGATTACGCAGGCTGCCTCAACCTACTGTGAGATTACATCAAAAAAGAATGGATCAGAGACACGTATGTCAAAATCAGACAAAAAAATTGAAAATTTGATTGGTGGTGCTACCTGTTTGTGAGCTCGCAAGCTGACTTAACCTGCTCTGATTTCGCATCAAAAAAGTTCAGACAGGTTTTACCCAATCGATTTGCTTATACAAATTGTTTTCTACTGTAGACAGATATGATAGCTTTTGCCCTCAGATTGGAGGTTTTTAGTTTCAGTTATACAAAAAAAACACTTGTCTAGCACAGTTTTTTCTGTTACCTTCTTTAAAGTTTGAAAAACATCATAAGGAAACATTTCCTTGGCAGTTTTCGGCTAAAAATTTTTAGATCAGTATCAAGCTTTTTTGATAAAGGTTACGTAATGCTGGAGAGTTATTCAGAAAAATCAATAACAAAACAGGGTTGTCACAACATTATTGATTGCTCACGGATAAAAAAGGAATTGGATTGGAGTATTTTGAGTGAGGAGACGAAAAAGAAAAAGACCACATGACGAATCAAAGGTGAACAATTTTAATGATGTTTTCTCAACAATAGGGGAAAAATTTGCAAAAAAGTGGGAAAGAGGAGAAAACCAATCACAAACTTGATTCATTGGTCCTGTTGCCAACTAAAATGAAATAAGTCGAAAAATTTCTGGATGATTCGAAACCTAAAAGTAGTACAGATAGCTCCAATTTGAACTATGTTTGATTAAAAAGACAAACTCCATCCCGATATTTCATTTTACGAAGGAGGCTGCCATTTCCAGCCACAAAACTATAGATTTATTTATATGCTTCCTGACGATACATAGTTACAACGTTGTTTATAAAAGTTTACAAATACAAATTGGAGTCGTTTTCGGAGAACACCATTGAGCCAGCACGGCCCGTTTTCAGATGTCTCGTAGTTAAAAAAATTTTTAATTTGCAAAATCAAAAAAAAAAAATTTGATTCAGAGCAAAAAGAAAAGAAAAATCATAGTTGCAGTGGCCACAATGATTGATTTAATAGAGTCCGATTGGGAGAATCAATGACGCCATGTACATTTTCGGATCTAAAAAAAAACTTTCTACGCCGTAGTTGACAAGTTATTAATTCAAAAAAGTTTTTGAAATGGTTTGAGAGGTCCCGTGTACAATCTATTGAAATCATATCTTCAAAACAGGAAACAGTGCACACAAGTAAAAAGAAATTATACAAAAGTGAAGATGTAAAATTGATATCCCACAAAGTTCTGTGCTAGGTCCACTCCTCTTCATATTTTTGTAAAGGGTTTTGAATGCGAACAAAAACAGACAAAGACAGTTTTGTACGCCGACGAGATTTCAATTTTACATTCGAAGAAGTTTAATTCAAAAAGAGCGTCAAACAGCATCAAACGAGACTAGACAGTGGCTGGAGGAACAATGCAGTTACTCTTAATACTGACAAAACAAAAACATTGACTTTCAAAGATGCAGACATAAACTAAATTTTGGGGTTCATTTGAGTCGAAAGGGTAATTGAAAACAAAAATCAAAATAACTACTTAGGTATTACCAATGACTCTGATCTCAGTTTTACCAGTCACACAGAAAAATAAAAGAAAATTTGAACACATTCTTCTGTGGCACAATCTATTAGCTGCCCAAGACTTTAATATCATCACAAAACTTATGTTCAGGCTATTATTCAATACGGCGTTTATATTTATGGCACCATGAACAATAGTAGTATCGAACATCTTGACCAGGCTAAAAAAAGACTGCACCAATTAAAATTTGCCGAGAAAAAGATTGAGAATCTAAAGCATTTATCTGAGTGTTATCGTCTATAGTGCTTCTGATTTATATCTCTATGAACTTTTTAACAAAATAATTAAACAAATTAATCAGAAATGAAAACTCTGTTGATATACTACGAAACCTAACTTTGCTTGAATATCTCATCAAAGGAAGTAATACAAGACTAACTGCTAAACAGATAATTACAAGTGCTTTAATAATCATACGAATTAGGAAAATGTTCAATTTCCCACTCCGATATCAGAGTGATTTTAAAGAACCAGTAGTTGATGACTCAAATATAGAGTTTAAAAAATTAAATCACACAGCATTGGAAAATTTTATAATGGGCAGTCTTGATTTGGCAAATCTTGTATTTAAAAGATGTGACAAGTCTCATTTTCATTTTTTTGTGATAGTGTTTTTGATAAAAACTAAGGTACTTGGTTCACTTCTTTTTCAATCGGAAAAGTGATTCTGTTTATCAATAGGGTAAGTTTCATCACTTTCCTAATTTGTTTTAGTTATAAAAGTGTTTTGGTTTTCTTCATTTACCAAAATTTTTTCTACACTTTCAGCATTATATGCATTGAAAAATTTTTCGCTCAGAGATTTTTTAAAACGGACCATTTGATCTAACGAATTTTTTTCGGATATACTTGTTGCCAATATCGTAAACTAGTCTACAAACTTGTGAGCGTGATAACAACTCATTATTTCAAAATCCCATTCGGCGTCAATATACTCTAGTTTTGTGGTAATAAGTACCATTACGAGGCCAAACTGTGCATTTTGTGAATTGTTAGCGGATTCCGCAACAACGATGCTCCCTTGGTTCTTTTTTTTTGTTCTTTCATTTTCTTTGATTGTTCCGACAAAACTTTAACATGGTTAAAGACTTGTCTCTGGAATCTGAAAACGTACAGACTCTGGAATCCAGGACTATCCAGCGCACAGTTTGGTCTCGTAAGGACAAAAAAAAGAAATCACTAGCCAAAAAATGCCGACTCATTAAAACTTAAAGCCATCTCCACGATCAAAATATTTCTGCACACATCAATGGAAGCAATACGATTGTTTTCATTCTTGTATTTAATCAAACTGGTGCTCTAACTTCTTAAAATAGTCATCGCTCTTGCATGGTACAAACCTGGAAATGGAAGTAATACAGTTATTATATCTTCTGGTTTGTGTGTGTGTGTGTTTGTGTGTGTTTGTGTGTGTTTGTGTGTGTTTGTGCGTGTGTGTGTGTGTGTGTGTGTGTGTGTGTGTGCGTGTGTGCGTGTGGATCCGTATGAGAAAAAATGAGTGGGCTGGATTTTGATTATTTTTATTTGATTTCCCCATTTTTGAGTTTAGGATTGAATCCAAAGGGTAAGAGCTTCAATTCAAACAGTAATACTTACAGTTTTAAGAAAAAAACCGAAGATTTTTCAATCGTAGCTTATCTCGAGAGGTATTTTAAGGCAGAGTGGTTCTATTGGCTGATCTCAAACCAAGTGTCTAGTATCACAGAATGTCTCTCAAGTAGCAACTCTCAGCAGAGGAGATTTTGGATCAGCTTGGAGCTACCGATCACTGGATCGACAGTTCTGCACCAAGCTGCTCAGATGGTAAATAATATTGTTTTAAGTTTTGAAAAAAGTAAGCTTATGTGTTTCTTAAAAAAATAGAAATTCACTGGAAGACTACCTTTGAATCGCATTGACACATTTTAAGATACGTTTCAGGTTCTGATTACCAAAAACAAACTTTCTTGAAAAGTGACCTGGATTTCTGGTTCATATTCTTAGGTTAATCTGGACCTGGTAGCCAAGATAATGAACTGGAAATGCGGTGCAAACTTCTCCAGGAAAAATAAGGTTTGAACTCAATTATTCCAAGCTCAGTAGAAACAATAGCAACTGACTTTCAGAAGAGTTCTGCTGTTCCAGTTAGGCGAAACGCCTCTTCATATGCTGGCCTTAGCCAGGGGGTACCCTTCAGCACGGAAACAAATATTGGCCAAAGTGATGTTGGGCTGTGAGAGTAGTCATCTCAACCCCCTAACACGAGACATATGGGGGAGGAGAGCAGTGGATCTCCTGCCACCAGAGGAGTACCATTTAACTAGTCAGAAAATCACATTTCAGAAGCCCAGTTTGAAGTCGTAGATTTATGTCAAGACAATTGCGTTCAATGTTTAGCAAATCCAGGCTGTGGCATTTTGAATTTAGAACTTACAGGCTGAAAAGTACTCGTTCGATTGAGATTTTCCGGCCATAAAAATACCCGCATCTCAACATTCTGCATTCCCGCTGTGAAGTTCTATTGATAACAATCGATTATAAGGAATTTTCATGGTCAAAAGTGTTAACTTTATGATCGATGATAATTACATTTTGAGACCATGCAAACGAGTATAATCAATTACTCTTCATTACTTTTCGAGAAATTAAATCAAATGTAATCCATTTAAAATCCATGTTGATGAATTATAATGGAATTTTATCTCTATAATGTTCTTCCAATTTTTCTGCAAAATTTCCGCATTAGTCACAGCCTACTCGACATCTAAACCTACTCCAATTTAGTAAAATCTTACAAAACATTATCTCTCACACTTTAAACCCAGGCCTTCATAATTTTAATACCAAAAAATTTACACTACACCCGCCATATTTATCTACACACCCCCAAACCTAAGTACACGTTTGACCTGCAGGGCGCATTCTATGAGCCGATTTTCAAATTTCATTTGATATCCTTTTCACTGCTAGTTAAGCAAGAGAATACAGTGATTTTTAACGAAAATCCGCATATAGGTGTGGGACAACAGAAAACTCATTTTATTGAAAGGTATGTTCTGTTTTGATTCTAACATAATGCAAAAAAGCCGAATATGTCGGCATTGTCTATTGTCAATTTCTACGTGGCATGCAAGGTTTTCACATGTAAATTGTGAAACCTTGAAAAAAATTAAGCAGTTAAGGGCACGGTTTTTCCATCTCTTTGGCAACCGATAAATGTACTACGTCTTCAGAATGTAGGATATCTATGTCGGACAAATCTGAAAACCCTCAAGTGAGGGCAGCGAAAAATTGATTTATTCACAGTGAAGTTTGTGTTTCTTTTCCGGAACCATTCCATGGAAAAATGTGCAATATTTTTGTTGATGATTTTTCGGGATATGTAACGCAAAAATTTTGCAAGAAAATTATATTGCACAGCAATCTACAAATATTTTTTCTTCTCAACAAAATGATATTGCCGAGTGCTATTGGCTAACATTTTTTGACAATGCACGGGCTCCTTTGTTATCGTCAAAACTACTGGAATCTCTTTGGGTAAAAGCATTTGATACTGATGCATACACAAGAAATTCTTTAATAGCATCTGCTATTAATGATGCTAAAACACCCTAGGAAAGGATTTTTGGAAAGTAATCCAGTGTTCATCAATTAAAAGTTTTTGCTTGCTTATGTATACCGAAAATTGAAACCCACCAGCGCAAGGTATTACTCAAAAACAAATAGGCAGTTTTTACTAGATATGACAGTTCAAGTCCTGCAGATTTTTTGCATGATTTACTGAAAAGAAAAGTTTACCAATCTCGTAGAATGACATTTCACGAAGAACATGTCCCAGGTCTCGATAACGGTTGAAAGCCTGCTATTGTTTTGCCTTTTCCAGACAATGACCCAGTTGGGGCAGTCTCAGATTCTGTGGTGGTCAATAATGCACAAAGCGGCGCAACTGATACAACCAAATTTTTGCCTACACTTGAACAACTGTTATCATCGACAGGGGGATCAACTTCTTCACATATTGATACTTCTCAAAGAGAATCTTCAGCATCTAGTCCTCATATTGTGCAAATGGAAGTTCAAAGTACTGCAATCTACTTGCATCCACGTCCAAATTACCCAACTCACAATGAACTTGATGACATTGAGTCTCCTCCTCGCACTACATTTGCAGACAATCAGCAAAACAATACTTCCCCACTCCTGAAAGTTCGATACTTTTTTTGACAAAATTCTACATCATCTATATCAAGAGAACAATCTGCAAGTTATGACGAAAGTTCTAGTGCTTTGGGAATGGACTTTCCTACAACTAATAGGACTGGTCGGATCATTCGAAGACCAGCATGTCACTAAGATGGCAATTTTTTTACTGATGAAAACTGTAATTTTGCATTGGCTGCAGGTCAATGGCAATATTCCACTCAATTATGAGGAAGTAGTTTTGTCAGCTGATATTTAAAACTGGTATTCTGCAATGCAAAAAGAGTTCAAAAGTCTGGAAGCTTTTGTGCCTTTTTTTTCTGGAAAACCATTAACGAAAGGCAAATGATCTTTTGATATAAAGCGTGAAAGCGATGGTTCACTTGAACAATATAAAGCAATTGCACGCTTTATGGCTAAAGCATTTAGTCAAAATTATGATCAAATTTATACTGATTTTTTTTCCACCTAATATTAGTATGACAGTGATTCCCATATTATTTGCCGTTGCAGCACTACTTGGTTTGAAAATGCGACAAAATGATGTTAAAACAACTTTTTTGATTTCTACTTTAGAGCATGAAACTTTTTTTGAGCAACCTCGTAGTGGTATAACCGCGTCTGGTGAGCATATTGTATGCAAGCTCAACGAATGTATTTACGGTTTAAAATAAACGTGTCGAGCTTGAAATCAGTTTCTAATAAAAGTAATTTTGAAACTTTTATAGTAATATAAGAAGCTCTGTAGATACCTGTTCCTTTTATCAATCAAGAAAAATGTGTTTCCATGCTGTGTATGTTGATGACGTGACAATTTTTGATGTTGACAAAATTTCAGTACAAAAGCTGCTAGCCGATCTTGGTAAGCGGATTCGCTTTCCCTGCTGTGTATGTTGATGACATGATGATTTTTGATGTTGACAAAATTTCAGTACAAAAGCTTCTTGCCGATCTTGGTAAGCGGATTCGCTTTGAAGATAAGGGCATTCTCGAATGAATTTGGGGAACAAAACTTCACGTTGATGAAAAAGGTAAAGTACTTTCTCAAAAAAGATACGTAAAAAATTTAATGAAGTAACAGAATACGCAAAAATTCAAATCAGTTTAAAAACCTGTGGTCACACATGAAAATGAAACGATGATAAAAGTCCAAATGATCGTTCCCTTTATCAGCAGTTAGTGGGGGCTTATTGTTTTTAGCTGTAACAACTAGTCTGGATATTGCTTTTGCAGTAAACTTGCTCTCGAGCTTTCAAAATTCCAACAGTGCAAGACTTAAGTTCTGCAAAAAAAATACTACGCTATTTGAGGGACACGAATTATTCCCTTACTTACTCACGACGTGTTATCGGTCTAGGAACTTTTGCGTACAGTGATGCCAGTTGGGCAGGCAACGTAAGGACCAGAAAGTCTGTATCTGGCATTTTTATTCAATTAAATGAGCCAGACTCACCGGTATTTTGACGAACTGCTAAACAATGCTCGGTATCATTATCTACATGTGAATCGGAAGACATAGCTCTCTAGTCCTTGGCTCAGGAAGTTTTGTTCCTGAAACATGTCATCGAGAGTGTTAAATATAAAACTACTCTCCTTGTTTTGTTTAGCGACAACCAAAGAACAATATGTGTAGTTCTGGAACTGCTTCAAGGTCGACAGCCAAGCATATCGACCTAAAAGTACACTCTGATCGGGAACAAATTCGCTCCGGTAAGATGACGATAAAATATCTTCCTACTTTATTTATGGTTGCCGATATTCTGACAAAAGGACTTCCACGTGTTCGTTTGGCGCAGATATGCAAGCTTCTATTTGAAAGAGCTTTTTGAGGGGGAGTGTTGAAACACTCGTCTGTGATTGGTCATTTTTAAGACGCAGTTGCTTAGAACCAAAATATTGAAAGCGAAGTTGTAATAGCTATATTCGCGAAAGGAGTGAAACAATATTCGCTTATGACTTTTAATTTTTTAGATAAACATAAAAAATGCGTTCAAACACAATTTGTTGATTTTGACTTGAACCACTTCAATGGATAATAAATGATAAGAAGTTCTCTTATTTTTTAACCATCGAAATCCACCATTATAAGAATGTTTGAGGGGGACTGGTTTGCCTTTTTTCGGCACTGACTTCGATTTTTTTATGGTGGTCGCCAGATATTTAAGTTGGTCAAGGTAGTTGACACATTATCTTGAATTGTCTTTTGTTCATTTTGAAGTCAAATCTATTATTAATTAGTTCGCAACAAATCATGACATTATTAAATTATTTTACCGCGTTTTGCGAGAATTATTGTGAGACAATGTCATGAATAGAGTTGAAGTTGTACAGTTTGTAGCATTAGTAGCCTTCAAATAGCAGGCCATGGATTGAATATATTAAAAAGTTTTAACTGAGCAGCCTGAAAAAAAGCTCAATTAAAAAACTCAAAATTTACAAAAAAAGTTGCATTTCACAATGAGTCCTATGGCACTTTCAGTTTTTTTTTTTTTCAACAATTTGATGGAAGTGATCGAAGAGAAACAGATAGAACACTGAGAACTTATGATCTCTTATTAAAGGCTGAAAAATCTCCATCAAATTGTTCAAAAAATGAGTTGATCGTCAGTGACTTTATGTATTTATTTTCAAAAAAGTGTCACTCGGCTTCAGATAATAGTGTTTCTTTAAAAACTAAACGGTTAGAAACATAAACAACGCAATCATAAAAATTTAAAACTGTTAGCAATCAAAACAGCACTGATACGAAAAAAAAACATTTCCAAAAAAACAGATGCTGCATGACAAAAGCAGGCAAACAGTCGGAGCAAAGCTGAGGCTAGAAACAATATAACAAAATCACTTAATCTTTCGAAAAAAATTTCAAAAACCATTTTTCATCTCGCAGAAGATCTGGACGGAACAAATCGAAAGTCCGGATCGCTCAATTAAAGAAAATCAATTCAACATGAACTGTAATAAAAAGCTCTGGTCAGATTTTGTGATATAGAACCGGTATTGCAAATCTAATTCTGCTTTTTACGATTCGACTTAAACAGTGAACAAAGTAAATAAAATTAAAGAACTCTTTTGCTTACTGGAACCTGATCTAAACTACTTTTTATTTTGGATAAATTAGATATTTTACCACTGTAAAATATTTAGTATTAACCAATCATAATCCATCTAACTAACAACCCACTTATTTGTAAGTGCTGAAATTACTTGTAATTTCAGCACCAGAGAGATTTGAATTTACCTTAGAAATTAGTTACCTCTCCAAGAGAACTTCAGAAGTCGGAATAAGCCAGCATACTCTAGATCTATTGAGCCTAGCAGAGACTAGTTAAACACCCTGAGACTAGTAGATATAAGAGTAAGATTAGGATCGGTATTAGACAAAGAAGTTGCACGAATCTATCCGGCCGAAAATAAGATAGCGTGACGAGCATACGGTGTACCCTATCCGAAATTACTCTATGAGTTAACCTCAAAAATCTAACTCATCTGGTGCGACCATAAGTCTCGAATAAGACCTTAATAGCTTAGAAAAAATATATAGATTAGAAAATAGACAAAACATTTTCAAATTGTTGCACGATAATAACTTAATTGAAATGTCTCTACGACTCAATAGATCATAGCCGATATTCCGCACAATACTAGAACTACCCGGTATCGGAAGAAGACCTCGGACAAGAGACGACATACGACTACGTAGAAACTTACCCTTTAGTTTCATGGTTGTACGGCAAAAGCCAACACAAAATTTTATTTAAGAATCTTATTAGCAATGAATTTAGATTTTCATTTGCAAACATAAAATTTTGAAGTAAATCTTCATGATTATTTCAGGCGCTACACAAAATTACTAATGTACAATAACGATTGATAAAAAGATCTCAAATCGTTCCCTCAACTTCTGCAGTAATATATAAAACATATTTGAAAAATTTTTATTGAAAATAAAAACAAAAATTAGTAGCATGACAATTAATAGTTAGTGATTATAGGTCATTCTGTTGTTCCAGCTTCATCACCTAATCAGAACAGCAATCATAAGCCAGCTAAAATCATTAAAAACTAAAACTTTTTACCAAATAAATTTAAACCATTTTTAAACTTAAATTTACCTAATTTTAAACTAGATCATCAAGGCTTATCCTTGGATCTTAATAAACTTTCAACTCATTAATTTTAAATTCTGATCATCAAGGCTTATCCTTGGATCAAAAAGAACAATTTTGTTCTCCCCCACCCACTTATCGAGTGTCTACCGACCTCAAACGTCAATTCACTATCCAACATTTTCAAAAGACCCAGGACTAATGGAAATTTTTAATAAATCATTCTCTCCAACCCTGATAATTAAAAAACCATTCTCCGGAATTGATTTACTTTTCTCTCCAACCCTGAATAAAAAGACCCAGGTTAAGCTAACCAAAAAATCGTAAGGACTAACAGTCTAGGAAATTGAAAAATCACTAATAACTTCTTGCATCCCTCATTCTAAACCTTATGTCATTCAAAAATTTAGGAAACAAACAAACAAACAAACAATCGTTTTACACAATAGTGAAATAGACAAACAAAATTACGATCTTTTAAAAACCCCACATACACAAACAGTTGGATACCTTCGAACAAAACGACAAACAATAAAAAGAAAAATTATAAGCAAACAAAGACAAATCACACGAAAAAAATTTCCAAGAAATAGAAACGCATTTTCCGAATCAGAAGCCAACAGTTTAGACGAACTATACAAATTAAAAAAATCAATAAATAGAAATTGCCCCATCCATGATCAATTATATTTTGCCGATTCAGAAACAACTTCAAACTCATCAAAAAGAGGAAAAAGAAGAATAAAAAAGCAATATAAACACAAACCAGTACACCTATATAATTGAAATCAACCAGTTAGACACATTGATAGTTATATACTAACAATCATCAAACAAAAAAAATGAGCCATACTCAAAGTGACGAAAGTCCAGATGAAGAAGCAGTTTTTCCCTTTCTTATAGGTTCACTCGATGATAGAGGACAAACACGATTTTGTAAAAACTTACTCGTAAATTTGTTTGAAACAGGAATCAGTCCATGCAAAGCAGAATTACCGGATGTAAAAACCAAAAGACAAATTATTGAACATTATTTGAAAGACATATGTAAATTAACACATCAATGCAGAATCTATACCATAGAATTCAGCACACCACGAACAGCTCATAACAAATATGTAATTCAAACAGACGATATTGATTTAGAATTTTCAAAAAAATTCATAGAATATATCAAAGCATACAATATCATAATTCACAAAGAGCAAACTCCATATTCACAAAAGAAGTTTTTGCAGTAATATATAGTTAAAGAATTAACTATAGTTAAAAAATTAGAAAAAACAGAAGTTCAAAGCACGTCACCAACCGAAACATCCAAACATAATAAAGTAAAAAATTGAAATCACAGTGTTTTCAACATTTTTACAAATAATCCGCAAAAATTTTATAATAATGATGTTTCACAAAACACTAAACATGATTTGCAAAAAATTTTAGCATGGTTTATAAAAGATTATTTTACCCACAACCTAGATTTAATTTCACAAGCAAGAAAAAATTTCAGACCTCAAAACACCAATGATGACACTGTCATTGCAGAACAATCAGATTACGTTTGGGACCCTGAATGGTCTCATCCAGCATTTATAAATATTCCACAAGATATCTCGAGTCAGGCAATAAGTACAATATTTTTCCACAGAGATTTTGTAAAAGTAATACCATTAACGATTGACGCAACACCATTTAATTATAATACATTTTTACCTGATACCCGAAATAACAGCTTAAATTCAACAGTCATACATAATGAAAATCTCAACGGAACCAGAAATCTTATACATCAAGACATTCAAACACCATCACACTTCATAAATCAAGAAATCGTCCAAACAACAGTAACAACTACACAACAAAGTATTTCACCAATACACCCAAATCTGACAACACCAAGAAATACAAATACATCACTAACACAGGTAACCTTACAATTGACCGTTAAACCTTCGGTTGCTCCAAAATATTCACATATGGACTATCAAACATATAGACCAATGACAAAACCGTCAAAACACGAAAAACGTTCACAAGACACACTTTCGCAGAACACAGAACACATTTATAATTATGCACACCAACCAAAAACAAATCAACTTCCCAAAAAAAGACACAAAATTTAAATCACGTATGTTCCCATTATTGGAATCTCCCAAAAACAACAACCAATTCTGTAAATTTTCTAGATAATCCACACACTCCACAGGATTTTAGTGACAATTACCCATTTTTTCAACAAAATAAAAATAAACAACAAACACCATATAACACAAACTATTTATCATCTGATGACGATGATTATCATCAACCAGATATTTTTGCACCATATACTAAAGAAAATCGCACACAGAGACCGCGATAATCTCAACCATCTCAAAATACAAAAATTTACCCACAAAATCCAACAGATATACAAAACCCACAACAAATGCATATAGAAAACCCATTTAATACACAATCTTTTCAATAAATACAACCACAAAACCCAATGTCATTTCATTCTTATCAACCAACCCAAATGAAAAATGAAATACCGCTTCCATATTACCTTCAGCAACATGAAATAACAAAAAATCAACTTTCAAATTTTCACAAATGCCAAAT